CACGCTCAATGGATATCATGCCTATAGGATTTTAATTACTTAAATTCACTGTTGCATCACACTGTCCATCTTGAAAACATGCCTATAAGGGCTAACTATGTATAAAATAAGTTCAAAATGTCAACCTTTAGAAAGCATGCCTATAGGAGTTAAATATATGAGGATCAATCCCAATCGCCAGTCTCTAGAAATCATACCTATAGGACATCACTACTCGCTCTTCAAACGCTGTAATCCACGCAATTATTAGGAAGCATAAGTAATTTTGGGTATTTCAGATAAGTTTTATTGTCCCCATTACATAAATCACCTAGAGATCATGCGTATAGGTTTTACAACTTATAACCCGTAGTCTCAATAACCAGTGTGTAATACCAAATACTCTGAACTGTATATTCACATAGAAATCATGGGCTTAATGGCTTTAACCGTCTCATTTCTGAAACCGTCAAATGCCTAACTTGTTTGCGTGTATTTGTTTTCTAAGTGTGGAGGCTAACTTGAGCCCTTAACTGCTTTTATAAGAAGTCCAACTTGTTTTGTATGTCGCCTAGTTTTCTCATTTTGAGCAACCTGAGCTAAGTCTAGAACCACCCCAAATAGAGGTCCAAACGCCTCCTAGACAATAGGCATGGGACGGGTAGTGCACGCATAAGGCTTGGTTTAGAACCAACTAGTGCGCTTTAGGTAACAACTTAAAGATAGTAATCAGGTAGCAGGAGATGATAGTCTTTGCCCTCTGAATAATACGAGTAACACCCCATACGGAGGGAGTTACGAAGTATTATTTATGTTGCACGGGGTTATCCTTTAGGCTAAAAAACATAGGACCCCCCCGCCCCTATTTTCTTTCTTTTCCTCTTAGAATAGTTGTACCCTTTGTTCAAAAGCTGTTTATATTAAACTTCTTAAATTTTTGTGCTCTCTCTTTGTTTATTTGATCACATAGACTAATTCATATAATTCGAGTTTGGCCGGGAACCACAGTTGTGGACCTCGAAGAGTGCCTAACACCTTCTCTTCGAGGTAATTTTGAGCCCTTACCCGATCTTTGGTGATGCAAACTAGTCAAACGGAGTTATCTGCAAATAGATGCCCTAACGCACCTTAAACCCGTTAGGTGGCGACTCTCTCTTTTAACACCCTTCCTTTAAAAGAGTTGTCACGTGTCGAAACCCGATTTTGAGAGAAAAAGGGGCGTGACAACATGGCGACTCTGCTGGGGATTTTTAGGCTCCTACCATAAGTGATCTTGGTCTATATGAATTAGTCTCTCATAAACGTGCCTTTATTATCTTTGCTGTTACATGAATATCCCTCTCCCGTTTTCCTTTTATTTGCTACCTGTATACCCTTTTCCCTGTCATCCCTTTATTTGGATTCGCTTGCAAATCCTTGCTTAATTTGGTCAAGACATGCGCTTTCCTTTAGACATTTTTAAGAATTGCTACATCATGTCTCTCCTCACCCTCACTCCCTTTTCTACTTTATTACAATTTCCATATTGCACGAACTAACTTTTCCTTGTTCTTTGTCTTTACGTTTCATTCAATACTGTATTTACTATTTTCATCATGCAAAGTATTTGACAATGTATTATTTTATCTTTGCATAAAGTATGCTCCACATCATATTCCATTCGTGCGTAATTAATACCATAGCAGCACTTGATGAGTGTCCGCGCTCTTCCTAAATCACCCTTTAAATTTGGAAAAGCTTATTTGCGGTAAAACTAGTCGATCAGCAATGCAATCGACGGTTTCGTGCCTTTCTCTCTCAAGTTGTCCGCTTGAGGCTAACGGTCTAGACTCTTCTAGAAACCCCCCACTGTAATATTAACTGTGCATGCATCATGTCCAAACCTAGTACGGGTTGGAATGCAGTCCGTGTAATAACTCGCTAAGTCAAGCCTTGTCCAAAGTCCGTCGGGATTTCCATAATCCCAATGGACACAGTCGCGATCTGCATTATTTGGAGAAAGCATGCCAATATGTTGATCATTAACGTGTTAATAGCCAAATCTGGAGGGGGCAAGGGCTAACTCTATTTTGTTTTGCAGAAATGAGGCAAGAAGTCCCCAGGTTCGACATGGTTCGAAATATCCCACCTTTACTATTGGATTGGTGGGAAAATCTCGCACCAAGTGACAAAAACCATGTGAAAAGTGTCATCCAAAATTTACCTTCTATGTTAGACATTCAGCCAAACAACACATTAATCGATCTGGGATGAGAAGAGGGCCGTTTTCCATTTTGGTGACATAGAAAAGACTCCCCTTTTAGAAGAAATAGGAGGTTTAGCTACGCTCCCATGGGATAGCCCTGGTTTGTTGGTACCGAAAAATCGCACTCCTCTAGGTTTCTTGAAAATGATTGGTTTCAGGAAGAATGATGATTTAGTCTGTCTCAAGAAGTCTTACATACCGCTCGATTTCCTCTATGAGCATTATGGACACAGCAAGTCATACCGCCTTTACCATGATGAGTTTGCCATCACTTCTTTGGGTTGGGCCTACCGTCGAGTTTTTGTTTTCATTGTCTGTTTTCTAGGGATGCTGGTATTTCCAATACAAGGAGAAAGGATCCACAGTCGCCTAGCTATGGTCACTAAGGCTTTAATGGAGGGGATCGAAGGGCAGACTTACACTATTGTCCCGATGATTCCGGCTGATATGTACCGGGCGTTAGACCGTTGCAGAAAATGGTATAGGCATTTTGAGGATTGTAATCAGTTGCTGCAAGTATGGTTGTTGGAACACCTTCAGAGGGGAGAATACCGTCAAGAATTTCTGCGACGACCATGGAATGACCACATGGCCTATCACCATCCGAAGAGAATGACCTTCATCTCAAACAGGTTTGCGCAACCAGAAAACGCTGTGAGCTGGGCACACTTCTTCAGCAATCTGACTGATGACAAGGTACATTGGATGTTCGAGTGGTTCCCTAGCAGTGAATTCATCATCAGGTCGAGAGATACTCCTCATCTATCCTTATTCCCCCATCAGGTTTATGATTTAAGCTGGGAGAAAGCAGGTTATACCACGAGTTTCCAAAATGGTGCAATACAAAGCAGACTTCCAGGGGAACGCCATTCCATTCAAGTTCGAGGCACAACACTTGTGGCATCAAAAGATCATTGTGGAGAAAGATACCATCGAGCCGGATCGGTATCATACCGGCCGTGTGCACTTCTATCCAACATTGTTGGTAGATGATATAGCGGGGGATGTCAAGCGAGGGATTAATCTAAAGAATAGGGTTGTAGACGATGCTGCTGAAGCACAAGTCAAATACAGGATGCTGCGCAAAGGGGTTTTCGAGTTTGAAGCCAGGCATTTGGAACAACATAAAATGGACATGGAAGCAATGAACGAGTGGAGAGAAATCGCTACTAAGTCAACAGAGAGGTTGGATATTTAGAGCAGGGGTTGATGGAGCTTGAAGGGAAGATGAGAAATAGTGTTGCAGGCTGTCAAAAGATGGATGGCAATGAAGGAGGGCTCTTAGCAAGGGCTTATCTGCTGTTAGACATGCGCGACCTGGGGAACCTGATCGATGGAGCAAAGAAGGCCAAGCACGGAGAAGGTCCCTCTAGGACCAAATAGATTAGGAATTATGTTTCACTTGCTTTCTAGACTCGTTTAGACTTTGGTTGTAATAAGGCAAATGCCATTAGTGACTCTTTATAATTATTGTCGTTTTAGTAGAGATTTGGTTTATTTATCATATTTATGAAATGACGTAGTTATTGGCATCAATTTTCTCCAAATCTATATGTCTCCTAGGCCTACCTCGGGCACAATGAGGTCCCAAAATTAGGACGCAAATTTATAATTCCGTAATATGTGTTTAAATACCGCAAACATCCTTTTAATACTCCTTACTGACTTGTTTACCTTCTTGTTTTCTTCTTTTCTTTATTTATTTATTCCCATCCCCTAAAGGTTGGTTCGTGCATACTGGCGTCATCAGCATATCATACCAGATCTAGATGTCCTCCACCCCCTCCTCCTCCAAGCGATCCTAAAAGCAAGGGAAAATCCAGAATGGATGATATGAGTGGTATTAGGAAAGACAATGATATGCATGAGGAGAATGTCGAGACTTCAGATGGTCGGAGTACTCCGACACAGAGTGACTTGGTTTTACGGTTGGAACAAAGGATATTGGAGCTACAAGGGGAACTTAAGTAGGTCCGAAACTTGGCAAACCTTTCCCTTACCCTGAACCTCCCTGATATCAACCAACAAAACACAAACGCCCAAAACCCAGAACCTCCCCAGAACACACAAAATCAACAAAATCCTCCTGCACCTCATCAGTATGCCACACCTCCTCAAAATCCTAATCCTCTACCAGTACCTACCCCTCCACAACATCATCAACACCCAACTCAATACCTACAAACCACCACCTACCAAACTCCTCAAAATGCACCACAACCTACCCCTTGTAGACATGTGATTTTTGACCCTCCCCAAGATTTTTTATATTTTAGCATGTAAATATTTAATTTAGGCCTAATATAGCTATTTCAACTATTTTTTTGACTTCTTTACTTTATTTTTGCCATAAAAATGAAAAATTACAAAAGTATTTTAGTTTATATATTTTTCATAATTTTTTTAAAAATACAAAAAATAGTACCTTGTTTTTATCTCCATATAATTTCGAAAACACAAAAATAATTTCATGTTTGGTTAATTAATTAGGATTAGCTTTGGCATTGTGAAGTATTTTTATCTTATTTTAAAAGGAGTCAATTAAGGTGTTGGATTACAATTTTAAGAGTTTTAGAGCCCAATTCTTGGCCCAATTTGGATTAGTCCATTAAGCCTAGGGACCCTTCTAGACTCTTCTTTGGAACAAAAACAAATAAAAAAGGCCCTAAGGACCTAATACACAAAAGACCTAGGGACTAATTGGCAAAATACACAAAATGTAAACCTAGACTCTACACCTATAAGACCCTAGACTCCTAACAATAAGATCAGCCGCAAAGCACCATAGAGACCCCTCCCATCATCTTCAGGATAATGCACTGTAGCACACTTTAGACCTGAAGAAATGATTCGTTTCATCTCTTAAAGAGAAAACCTTCAGCACCCTTTCACGTACAAGAGCCAGGCAGCCAAATCGTCTAACTTTCACTCACCAGAAACAGCGACGCCACCAGCGACTCCTCGCCGGAAAACGACCACCCAACGTGCCGGAACACCATGAGAATAGTTTTTCAAAAACCAGTTGTGTAAGCTCATCATTTTCACCATTAAAGCACTGAAGAATCAGCAACAAACCCCCATCGAAACAGCCCAAACATCATAGCTTAAGCTCTGTTTTTATCTGCGAAAGATTACGTGGGAAAAAGGGCCGAGTTCGGGTTTTCCATCGAAGTCTCCGACGTTATTTTCCGGTCAGTGTTCCTAGCGTCATTTCCTCTGTTCGTATTTGTGTTCAATTCTTGAATTTTCTTGCTTTTGTGCTTAACAAGTGTATGATTTATCAATTAAGTGCTACTGAGTTTGTTTAACCAAAGCTGAATTTGAACTCTTAAGATTAAAATTCGGATTGAAGCTATGATGTGCTTAAATATGTGCTGAAAATTTTGAATAAAGTTTGAGCTATAGCTGAGTGAATTGATTTGAATGAATTCGACTAGCGTGCTTAGCTTGATTTTTGAGTATTGAGCTGGAATTTGTTCTCAATTTGTTGCTGCCGTTTGTGAATCTCAGCTCTTGATAGAGTTTCTCAATTTCAACTCATCTCTTTATTAATTTACGTTGTGCTTCATGTATTTTAAATTATTGTTGTTGCTAGTTTCGTTAGTCTTGTCGCATGCGGATTTAAGGGAATTTGTCTAAAGCTATTGATTCTCTAAATTACAATTATGTTACAATCCAGAATAAACATGCCTCAATTAAGTTGGTGTCATATATATATTAGGCGTTTAGTTTGGTACACTAAAAATGTAAAGATCTTTATTCAGTATTATTAGAATGAAATGGACCCGAATGAATTGTTTAATAGAGAAATTACCTGAACCTGAGAAGAGGTAGACATTGAATTGTAGGGTGTTAAAGAAAAGCCAAGAAATTTATTTGGGGTTTGTAGAAATGCAGATAATATGTAGCTTGATAATTACTTGGAATGGAAGATATGTAGTTTCTGTAATTCAGTTAGTCGCTGCAGTTGAATTAGCAACTATCGTGGTTGTGGACACGTTCGCGTGACATGACTACGATTCCTAAAAACAAAACTCGAGTATGCGTTCGCGCAACTTTGGCCAAATTTTTCTTAATAATAATAAAACGTTATTAATTATGGACACGTTCGCGTGACATGATTTTTTACGCGCCCAACAAATGGGTACACGTACGCGTGACCCGTTTCAAGATAATTTTCTTAATTTAAAAAGCGGTAAGAGGCAAATGCACATAGGTTTTAAAATCAATAATTAGATAATTTAATAAGCCAAGTATGATCAAAGCGACCGTGCTAGAACCACGAAACTCAGGAGTGCCTAACACCTTCTCCCGGGTTAACAGAATTCCTTACCCGGATTTCTGGTTCGCGGACTGTAATACATAGTCAACCTTTTCCTTGACTCGGGATTTGAACCGGTGATTTGGGACACCATTAATTATCCCAAGTGGCGACTCTGAATTTTTAATAAAATGAATCCCGTTTCGATTGTCACTTCAAGTTGGAAAAAACTCCCTTTATTATATCCTTTCCTGCGGTGTAGTGAAAAAGGAGTTGTGACAACCCTGATCCCCAAAACTCAACCAACAACCACCACAACACCCAGATTCCCGTAGTCCATCAATTGAACCCTATATACATGGAAACCTTACCTCACACTCCGCAACAAACCCTATACATACCTGAATCCGCCGAAAAGGACCTGCTTATCAAGAACATGGCGGAAGAACTCAAGAAACTTACTAGTCGAGTCCAAGGTGTTGAAGGTGGTAAAGGAATCGAAGGTTTGAATTATGAGGACTTGTGTATTCAGCCGGACGTAGAACTACCATATGGTTACAAACCTCCTAAGTTTGAAATGTTCGACGGGACAGGTGATCCAAAGGTACACTTGAGAACATTATTGTGACAAGCTCGTAGGGGTTGGTAAAGATGAAAGAATCCGCATGAAGCTGTTCATGAGGAGTCTCACTGGAGACGCCCTATCTTGGTACATACGTCAAAACTCGAAGAAATGGGTTAACTGGGTAAGCATAGCATCAGATTTTATGGATTGATTCGGGTTCAATACAGAAGAAACGGCAGATGTCTTCTACATTCAGAATCTTAAGAAGAAGCCCACAGAAACTTTTCGCGAATATGATACTCGATGGAGATCAAAAGCTGCGAAAGTAAGGCCGGCACTAGAGGAAGAACAAATGAATAAGTTCTTCGTTAGAGCTCAAGATCCACATTACTATGAAAGGCTGATGGTTATTGAAAACCATAAGTTCTCCAATATCATCAAATTGGGAGAAAGAATAGAGGAAGGAATTAAAAGCGGAATGGTGACAAATTTTGAGGCACTACAGGCTACAAACAAAGCCTTGTAGTCGGGGGGTATCTCTAAGAAGAAAGAAGTTGGTGCAGTAATGGTATCTCAAGGTCTGAAGTCTCCCATTACATACCAAACACCACCATCCACATATCAACCTTCACCTCCTAGATACAAACAATCCGCCGCCACTTACCATACTTATAACACCCAACCTGCATATTACCACTCACCATCACCAGTCCACCAAAACTAACAAAAACCCAAACCAAATTTCTGTAAAGCCCCGTGAATTTCCATAGCTAAATCGAGCAATTTCGAGCTTAGGAATACAATTTAATGTAGACCCAAAACTACATGAGAAATTACTGGAGTGGATAAAATTATTTGGATACTTGGGGATAATTATTTTAATAATCTTGAGTGTTGTAATGATAGGGACCACTTGGATTCTAATTTCAAAGCAAGAAAAACTAAAGAAAATATAGTGAGCTATCTCCCCATGGCACAGCTATAGCACAGGAGGGAAGCTGAGGATTTTAGCAAAGCAGTGAGCTAAAGCCTTATAGCACAAGGATAGCACCAGTTGAAAAATACAGTACCTGATTTTAGCAGTGAGCTAAAGCCTTATAGCACAGGGATAGAACCAGTTGAAAAATACTGTACTTAGGCCTATTAATACCTGAGCGGGGTGAGAGAAAAATAAAAGAATTCCAAGACTAGGGCTTTTCTCTCCATCACCCATCTAGCCGAGGCTTCCAATACACACTAAAGGTGAGTTTTAAAGTGCGTTTTTATGATAATTTCACTTATCAATCACTAGTTACAACAAGGTTTTGATTGGATTCCATAGGATTTCTTCAAAATCTCAAGAACACCCCAAATTTGACTTTCAAGATTTGGTCTACAAGAGGTAATCATCAACCCTTAAACCCACATGCATGGATTTTTAGTGAATATATAAGCAAGAAATAAGTACTATAACTTATGAGATGGTGATTGGAAGCCATAAATACTTAAACGAGATCATTGGGTGTTGTGGAGATTATGTAATGAGTTAATTAGTGAAATTTTATGGATGGGAGCTCATTGGTGATCATAATGGTGCTAAAGAAGGCAATTAGTAGTCAGAGGATGTTGTATTATATCTTGTTGGTGAGAAGGAAGGATTATTGGATGAAGGAACCCGTTACTAGAGGTAGTATAATGCTATGCACTTTAGGTGTTTGATATAATGCCAACATCACCAAAAACCTGGAAAATTTTACTAACATTGGTCCAATTGAACTTTGTTGATGTAGATTGAAGTTGTAAGAGTAGTGGGGGGTTTCAATAAAACTAAAGGGCTGGATCCAGGTATGTATGGAAAATCCTCTTTCTTCTTAGAATCAAAATGCCCTGGTATCCATGTAATCGGTGTAAGTCCCCAAATTGAGCATACCAGAATTGACTATCCCAAATATGTCGTGTGGTATAATATGTGTTCAATATTAGTGCCAAATGATTATCATGTCATATATTCCTTTGTGAATATGTTTAACAATGTGGAATATGTGTTGAGAAATGTTAAGAATTCATGTCAAAGAAATTGAATAACGATTGTTGTGCCATTTCGTATGCAAAGCCTCTATGTGCTTAGAATTTCCGAGCTTTTCCCATATGTGTGTTATCATGCCTTACATGATAGGCCTTATAGTTTCTATGATAATGTTATTGAATGTGTAAAAAGGGAAACTTGAATTGTAAGATATAGCCAACTGCCAAGAATGACTAACTAAATGAGGCTACTCGTGCCATGAAATGAAAGATGGGAAAGAAATGTGAATTGAGATGAACGATTGGGAGAATGATGTCTCAAGTGAGATGGCCTAGCCGATCTGGCCGTGATCGGACACCATGCCGCACACATGGTGGTAATTGTGCTGGATGGATTGATTGAAATTGTGAATATGGTGGATGTCTCAAGGGAGATGACCTAGCCGATCGGGTCGAGATCGGACTCCGTGTAGGAACATGGTGGTATTATGGATTATGGCACATGGCACTGAGATTGGCAACATAATAAGATGGAAATTTTAACCGGAAACCTTGTGATTCTTACTTGATGATTTTCGTATTTGTTTGAAGCTCTTATTGTATACCATGACCGTTTCCTTTACATTTCATTATTCATTCTATTAAGATTGATGTTTAGCTTTACATACTAGTACTATTCGACAGTACTAACATCCCTTTTGCCGGGGGCGCTACATCTTTTAATGGATGTAGGTGGTTCTATAGCCGACAGTGTTGATCGCAGCTAGTGGTGCTTTGCCTTCATCTCCCCAGCAGTCTTTGTGAGCCCCATTCCTTCCCGGGGCCATGTAGTACATCTTTTGCTTATATGTTTATCATATTTTGAGGTATAGCCGAGGCCTTGTTGCCGGCACTTTTGTAGCACTTTCTTTTGTGTCTACTTAGAGGCTTCGTAGACATTATGTGGATTGTATATGGGTGTTGGAAAGGTCAAAGGATGATCTTGTGTTTGGACTATTGTTCCACTAAATAGTAAGGTATATGTATTTTATAAACAAAGAAAAAAGAAAAATACTCAACAACGATGTAATTAATGAATTGGCTTAGTAATGTACTTGTATGATTTCCTATTGCCTAAATTGATGAAATCATGCCTTCCTCTTGATTGTAAGTGAGTCGGGTAGAAAGTGTCTAACATGCTTGCTTGGCTGGGTTCACCCGGTTGAGCGCCGGTCGCGCTCCCCGAGCTTGGGGCGTGATAAACTTGGTATCAAAGCCTATGGTTTTAAAGTGTCCAAGGATGTCTCGGAGCCGTGTCTAGTAGAGCCCTTCTTATTTGTGTGTTGTCGACCACATCTATAATTAGGGGGCTACATGGACATTTAGGAATAATACCCTTCTTTGTTGATTCATATCGTGCAATAATGCTATATGCGAGGCTGTTCTCCTCTAACTCGTGCATTGTCCTAACTTTCAGTAAATGGAACCTAAAAAGAAAGAAAGAATTGGCCTAGAAGCCAATGCCACCCCAGGAGTGGCTGTTGATTCCCTACTTGATTATGTGGGAGAGGATAATCCCCCGACTATTTCACTGCCTGATTCTTCCACACCAGAACAGACTGCCCCAGCCTTTACACCTACTAAGGGTGGAACTGTCCCTCCCACTGATATTCCTATTCCACCTCCAGCCCTAGCCTCCGGTTCTTGTATTTTTGATGGGTATCTTAGGGGAGCTATCCAGATGCTGACACAGTTAGTGGCTTCTCAGGCCCAAAGGTCGAATGTTTCACCCACACCTTCTAGTCATCAAGGGGATTCTACGGGTTCTAGGGTGAATAGATTTCTCCAGTTAGATCCACCGGTGTTCACATGTACTGATCCCGAGGCGGACCCTCAGGATTTCATTGATGAGATGCATAAGACTCTTCAGGTTATGCGCGCTACTGAGACAGAGGGAGTGGAGTTGGCCACCTATCGCCTGAAAGGGATGTCATATTCATGGTTTGAGATGTGGGAGGATTCCCGTGATTAGGGAAGCCCTCTGACGAGGTGGAATGAGTTTTTGGATGCTTTTGTAGACCATTTCTTGCCTGCCGAGACTAAGGCAGCCTGTGCCGCAGAGTTTGAGAACCTTAACTAGGGTAGTAGGAGTGTATAGGAGTATCACATGGAATTTGCCGCCTGTCAAAATATGCTATTCATATGATGCCCACCATGGAGGCCAAAGTGCGTCGATTTGTGCAGGGCCTTAGCCCTTTGGTTATTAACGAGCCTGCCACAGCTGCGTTAAACTCTGATATGAACTATGGAAAGATGGTGGTGTTTTCTCAAGCTACAAAGACCCGCAAGTTGAACAACAGGATGGAGAGAGAGAGGGTAGAAGCAAGGACCGATCTGCGGGCCATCCTGGTGATTCATTTGGTGGGGGAAGTTCAGTCTTTAGGGGAGGATCGTCAGGGCCATCTCAGTCCTATGCTCAATCTTCAGCTAGTGCACCGCCAGTAGGGCACAGTCAGCAGCAGGGGAGTCATTTCAGGCCCAATCAGGGTAATAGGGAACCCCACCAGCAGGACCAATCAGGAGGGAGATTCCAGCAGCAGCGGAGGCCCCCATGCCCCAAGTGTGGGAGGATGCATTTAGGTATCTGCTACATGGACTTGCCAGTATGTTATGGTTGCGGGATGAGAGGCTATATTCAGAGGGAGTCTCGTGTATCCCGCTAGGGTGCGGGCAGGGGCATAACACAACCGTCTGGTTCTACAACTGCTACATCTTTAGCACCCCCTCCAGCTCGAGGCTCTCCAGCACCAGCAGGGCGAGGTGCAGCTAGGAGTGGTGCTCAGAGTTTAGGAGGACCAGCCGTTTCTATACTATGAGTGGTCGCCAGAGTGTAGAGGCTTCTCTAGATGTTGTCACATGTATTATAGATGTCCAATCTTATGATGTGTATGCCCTTATTGATCCTAGTTCCACTCTGTCCTATGTTAACCCTTATGTTGCTATGGAATTCTGGATAGAACCAGAACAACTTCGTGAGCCGTTCTTTGTATCTACTCCGGTTGGTGAGTCTATTACGGCCGCGCGAGTTTATAGAAATTGTGTTATCACGGTACGTGGTCGGGATACCATGGCCGATCTTATTGAATTGGGGATGGTTAATATTGATGTAATAATGGGGATGGATTGGATTTATTCATGTTTTGCCAAGCTCGATTGCCGAACTAGAACTATGAGGCTTGAATTTCATAATGAGCCAGCTGTTGAATGGAAGGGGGATAATGTGGTACCAAAAGGTAGGTTTATTTCTTACCTTAAGGCCTCGAAGATGATTAATAAGGGGTGTATCTACCATTTGGTCCGGGTTACGAACACTGATGCTGAGGCACCTACACTTGAGTCCGTGCTAGTTGTGAATGAATTCTTGGATGTCTTTCCAGATGAACTCCCTGGGATCCCACCAGACAGGTAGATTGAATGTGGGATCAATGTGATGCCAGGCACGTAACCTATATCAATTCCGCCTTATAGAATGGCACCGGTAGAATCGAAAGAATTGAAGGAACAATTGAAATATTTGTTAGAGAAGGGCTTCAACTGATCGAGTGTGTCGCCGTGGGGCGTACCGATTTTGTTTGTAAGAAAGAAAGATGGGTTGCTATGGATGTGCATCGACTATCGGGAACTCAACAAAGCTACTATCAAAAATAAGTACCCTCTACCAAGGATATATGATTTATTTGATCAATTACAAGGTTCTAATTACTTCTCTAAGATTGACTTTCGGTCCGGGCATCACCAATTGAAGATAAGAGATCAAGATATTCCGAAAACAGCTTTCAGGACCCGATATGGTCACTTAGAGTTTCTGGTAATGTATTTTGGGCTAACAAATGCCCCGGCAGTTTTCATGGATCTTATGAATCGAGTCTTCAAGCCTTTTCTTGACTCCTTTGTGATAGTGTTCATTGACGATATTCTTGTATGTTCACGAAGTCGGGAGGATCACGCCGATCATCTCAGGGCAGTTCTGCAGACTCTTCGTCATCACTAATTATATGCGAAGTTTTCAAAATGTGAATTTTTGCTTGAATCTGTCTTGTTCTTGGGTCATGTCGTCTCTAGAGAAGGATTTATGGTTGATCCTCAAAAGATTGCGGCAATGAAGAATTAGCCTAGACCTACAACTCCAACAGAGATTCGCGGTTTCTTGGGCTTGGCTGGGTATTATAGAAAATTTGTGGAGGGGTTCTCTACTCTTGCCTCTCCATTGAATAAATTGACACAGAAAGAAGTTAAGTTCCAATCGTCTGATGCTTGTGAAAGGAGCTTCCAGGAGTTGAAATCAAGATTGACTTCGGCGCCGGTATTAACCCTGCCAGAGGGTACAAATAGGTTTGTGGTATATTGTGATGCTTCAAGGATTAGGCTTGGGTGTGTATTAATGCAACGTGGCAAGGTCATAGCTTAAGCTTCAAGGCAACTCATCAATCATGAAAAGAACTATCTAACACATGACTTGGAGCTTACAGCGGTGGTTTTCGCATTGAAGATTTGGCGTCATAACTTGTATGGGGTCCATGTGGGTATATTTATGGACCACAATAGCCTTCAATATATTTTCAAATAAAAGGAGTTGAACCTGAGGCAGAGAAGATGGCTTGAGTTACTCAAAGACTACGACATCGACATTCTATATCACCCGGGAAAGGCCAATGTTGTGGCAGATGCTCTTAGCCGGAAATCTATGGGAAGTTTGGCTCACTTGAAGGCGTATCAAAGGCCGTTGGCCAGGGAGGTTCATCAGTTGGCTAGTTTGGGAGTTCGTCTTGCGGACTCTAACAAAGGGGGAGTAATTGTGCATAATAGGGCCGAATCATCGCTTGTGGCGGAGGTCAAAGAAAAGCAATATAATGATCCTCTGTTGGTACAACTGAAGGAGGGGATCAATAGACACAAGACCACAGATTTTTATCTTGGCATGGAAGATGGTACACTACGGTACCAAGAGCGACTATGTGTTCCACATACTGATGGTCTTCGGGAAAGAATCATGGACGAAGCTCACACTTCCAGGTATTCCGTGCACCCAGGTTTTACAAAAAAGTATCATGATCTCAAAGAAATCTGTTGGTGGAATGACATTAAAAAGAGTGTAGCGACTTTGTGGCAAGGTATCCAAATTGTTTGCAAGTGAAGGCCGAACATCAACGTCCTGGTGGGTTAGCGCAAAGCACAAAAATTCCAATGTAGAAATGGGAGATGATTAACATGGATTTTGTGGTAGGATTACCGCGCACTCCGCGCAAGTTTGACTCAATTTGGGTTATTGTGGACCGACTCACGAAATCAGCACATTTCTTGCCAATCAAATCTACCGACACAATGGAACAATATGCTCAGTTGTATATCAAGGAAATAGTCAGGCTTCATGGCACTCCAGTTTCCATCATTTCCGATCAGGCGGCTCGGTTCACATCTAATTTTTGGAAGAAATTTCAGCAAGGTTTGGGTACGCATGTAAATCTTAGCACGACCTTCCATCCACAGACCAATAGGCAAGCAGAGCGGACTATTCAGATGCTCGAGGACATGTTGCATGCTTGTGTTCTTGATTTCAAAGGTAGCCGGGATGATCATCTGCCACTCATAGAGTTTGCTTATAACAGCAACTTTCATCCTAGTATATTGATGTCACCATTTGAGGTATTATATGGTAGGAGCGATTGAAGACTGCTCAGAGTCGTCAAAAGTCCCATTCGGATGTTCGTCGTAAAGATTTGGAATTCAAAGAAGATGATTGGGTATTCCTGAAGGTTTCCCCCTTGAAGGGTATAATGCGGTTTGGAAAGAAATAGAAATTGAGTCCGAGATATGTCGGGCCGTATAGAATTATTTAAAAGATCGGTCAGGTGGCATACAAGCTCGAGCTACCGCACGATATTTCATTGGTACACTCGGTATTCCATGTGTCTATGTTGAAGAAGGTAGTGGGAGATCCGTCCACTATTGTGCCGGTTGAGACTATTGAGGTTAATGAAGAGCTGACATATGAAGAAATTCCAGTTTCCATTCTTGATAGGCAAGTCCAAAAGTTGAGGAATAAAGAAATTGCCTCCGTGAAAGTGATATGGCAAAACTA